TACGTACGTACGTACGTTACGTACGTTACGTTACGTTACGTTACGTTACGTTACGTTACGTTACGTACGTCGTACGTACGTACGTACGTACGTCGTCTCGTCTCTCTCTCTCTCTCTCTCTCTCTCTCTCTCTCTCTCTCTCTCTCTCTCTCTCTCTCTCTCTCTCTCTATATATATATATATATATATATATATGTCTGTGATTTCATGCTTTCACAGGAGCACATTGTTCAAACTCAATCTTGGAGCAATTTTAGGATAATATCTCAAGATTGAATCGGGACTATCCAATTATTTAAGGGACAGGTCTAAATGTTGGAAAACATAAAATGCAAATTCTCTTGTGAAAATGATCTTAGAAAACTTAAAATGCAAATTCTCTTTTGAAATGATCATCTGCAGTTTCTATAAGGTTTAGGTTTTTTGAGAAAAAGTAAAGCCTCAACTCGAAACTGTCTTTGAGCATCATAAATCTCTATAATGGCTCTCAAATCAATTTTCATTGCTGAATATGAAATTTGAAGCCCAAAAAATGATACAGATTTTGTGGATCTGTGAACACTAGAAATGGATGGTCTAGAATGTGTTATTTTTAGGGTCCGAAATCCTTCAATCAAGGTCAAGATGATCGATTTGAAGGTTTCTCGACATTAGAATTGCAATTTTAGTTAAGTTTTGAGATGAGGCTTAACTTTTTTTGTAAAGCCTAGGCCTTTTTTCAACTTTTTCTATCTACTTATATCTACTTATTCTGATGTAGTTCTCAAAATTTTAGATTCCAAAGTTCGTTTTCTCCCAGAGAGGGAGAACCAAATATGCATAGGGAGAAAGACCAAGCTTGAGTTAGTTATGTCCTTCTAATTAACCGCTTTGATTGAAATAGCTTACTAGTAATAGGCTGCATATATCATGCTCCTAAGGGAGCATATATTGTACAGCAACTCCCTTGAGCAAAAGAGTAACTTGGGAGGGTTCCTTTGATGCAGAATTTTGGATCCATTTAATTATTATTAAGAAAAAAAATTTGGATTTTAAGTTCTTGAATACCTAGATCTGTCCTCCAAAAGTCATTTTCTTTTTTTTTTATTCTGGGGACGTTAATTTTTTTGGGCATATGGAGAGTACTATATTTTTTTTCCTTCAAGGTTGGTTGGTTGTTAGGCTCTAGAGGCCACACTCAAATTTTGAGTTCAAAAAATATTCCTCAAATGAATTTTGCTCAAGGGAACAACTTGCATTGTAACTCCCATGGGAGCACAAATCTTTTCATGTAATAATAAAATAGAATAAAATATTTTTAGTTTATATAAAGATGCTACCTTATAATGTAGAACTGTGGAGTTTTAATATTGAAAAACCCTTTAATTGATCATCAAGATGTATGACGGTAAAAAATAAAAAGATTTTAAGTCTTATAAATAGTGCATTTTACAACATATTATCTACACCGTCCATTTTTTTGATTTTCTTACGTTTATAAATCTACTTGATTTTAACCATTTCTTAAATTTAAAATTTTATAATTAGATATAAAAATAAATTTAGAGATAATCCTAAAAACATTTTACATCAAAATTATATACCTTGATAAAATTTGAAGGTGCACCTTACCTCTACACCTACCGATGCGTCCGTATGCAAACTGCATTTTTTTGAGGGGCATGCGTAGTTCTACAATTTTTTAGGGGCATCCGTAGATCAAGAACGTAATATTTTAGATTGAATATTTTTGTTAATCCTATTATGGGTGGGTTATTTTTCAAAAAAATTCCCTTATTATTTTTCAAAAAAATTCCCTTACTCAACAAATGAGAACAATTTTCATAAACGATTATCTCCTCTCAAGCAAATATTTTGATGTCCAAATATCCTCAAATTGATCATCTCAATATCAAGATCCATGGACATGAGAAAAAAAATAGATTTCAAGTTTTGCAAATAGTATATTTTGTAATGCATTTTTGGACCGTCAATTTTCAAAATTTTCAAGTTTTTATAGGTCGATTGATCTACACTATTTTTTAAGCTTTAAAATTTATAAATAAAAATAAAAATATATTATAAAGCTATCACAAACATTTCAAGTGAAATCACATTGGTCGACACTATTTAAAGGTAGGCTCTAATATGATTGTTTAGAGCCTAGGCTGTGTACAAACCCAGCCTTTCATTTTAGCTCATATATAAGTAGAGAGTGGTGCGAGTGGAAAGCTTTCATATATCAGGAAGGTGCTAAGCCGAGTATGAGTGACACGGGTTGCGCCACTATTTCCCTCCCTTATTTCCATTATTTTTGCAGAAGAACCCTCTCTTCCTCCTCTTTCTGCCCTAATCTCTTCGAATTTCACAGAAGAAAGCCATTGAAACTCAGAGTAAAATCTATGTTTAGTGACACAGAGGGAGAGACTTTAAATGATTCGGCAAAAGAAGAGCCAGTTACTCGTCGCCTTGTTCTTCTCCGCCATGCCAAAAGCTCATGGAAAGATCGTACTTTAAGAGGTAATTTGACCCTAACAAAAACTCCATTTTTTGTAATATATCTGTTGCTCATCTCTACTTTTCTGCGGAATTGTGTTTATTTACTACTGTCTTACTTTTTCAAAAATATAAAATTACTGCCGGTAAACTGTTCCCTTGGTTGTGATGATTTTTTTGTTGTATTTTTGGGTCGTTTTGGTTGGGGTTTAGTGTGTGTAAGTTGATGGAAGGCTGGTGATTTAGGGGTTTTATCATGGATTTATGCTATTGAAAGAATTTTGTGTTCATTGTTAATGGCCTTTTCTTAAAATGCTATGAAATTTTGTCAGATTAAGATATTACCTGGTTTTCGGTTTATATTATCCGTCTGTTTGTCAATTTTGAGTTTATTGATGCTAGTGTTGAAAAATGTCAATTAAATTGTTCTCAAAACAAAAAATGTCAGTTAAATTAAGATGAAAATTTGACATATTCTCAAGCATATTGAATGTTTTTTTTTTTTTCCTTAAATGGCAAATGGATGAGAATGAGGTTCTTCAAGAAAGAAGCTCAAATTTTCTAGTTGGTTTTCTCTTGAATTGGGCTGCTAGCTATTTTTTTTTATAGAAGTAGGTGTCTTTAGTTATGTCTAATTGCTGGCGATATTTTGTGTTCGTTTTTTACTAATTATATATGATTTCAGAAAGAACTCTAAGATTCCATTATGAAAAAGATACATAGAAAATATTACTTTTTGTGTAAAGATCATTTATCCCGTTTCCACTGATTATCCTCTTTCTTGTTGTTGGATTGGCTAGTGTTTAATGGAGAGTTTTTGGATGATAATGTTTCATATGGTACTTTCCCGGATCCTGATGCCATTGTCATCGATATATACAGACCATGATCGCCCTTTAAGTAAAGCAGGTCGTGTGGATGCCATGAACATTTCGCACAAGCTTCATCGGATGGGTTGGGTGCCTGAACTCATTCTTTCTAGGTTAGATTGCATTCTAAATTGCATTATATTACAAGAAAATGAGTTATTCTTTTTCTTTTATAACATCATATTTTTTATTTCAAGCAAAAAACCTATTCTTCTATATGCTTAATGATTTGTAGAATCTGCATTTGTTGATATGTGTACTAAAGCCCGAGAATTATCTTTAGTTGATTTTGATCTTGATGGCATTGTGTACTGGACCTACTGGTCTTATGCTTTGTGCTTAATGGGACTTTATCTTGTATTATATTATACTTTATGCTGCAGCTTTACTAATAGGCTTCTAATAAGACTGCTCTTTTTTAATAAGGATATCATATGGCATTTTTATTGAAATATTTTAATTTCTTAGTGGTAAAGTTCTTAATGAGCACCTAACTTTTAGGGATCTTTGCTGTAAACCATATTTCGTCCATCTATGATTATTATGAGTTGAGATTGGGGATGACATCGATCGCACTACTTCTGGAACTGTATTGGCTGTCCCCGGTCTAGGTTAAATTCTAACAGTGAAGTGGGAGTAGCCAACTCAGATCAAGCCACTGTTTCTTTTCAGAGGTTTAATTTTGAAATATAATGTGAAACTCCAGCGAGTCTTTAAAGACTCGGTTCAACTTGACTTAAGAGAGACTGGAGTTGAATCCCATAATAAAACTTAACTAATGCAGACTCAAGCAAACCTCGACAAACATTTGAGTCTGTCAAGTATTGGAGAGGCCGGTGGAACCACATGATTCGATTGAGCCCAAATGTTTTTATATTTTTTAATGGAAGCTGGAAAGTGGATGCTTTTTATTGTTTGCATAAGGATTTACTAAGGGATCATACGATCCCAATACAGTACTCCTTCATCATTTTTTTTAATTGGAAAGCATAAACTCTTTTTAAAAAAAAGAGAGAATTGAGGAAGCAAGTCTCTGGGCATAAACTTTATCACTAACCATGTAAAATCTCCAGATACAATGGCTATCATATTGGTAATCTTAACTGAAAGTTTGTCATATTTATATTGTAGTGATGCCATTCGAACAAGGGAGACACTTCAGATTATGCAGGAGCATGTTCAAGGGTTTTTAGAAGCAGAGGTGCGCTTTGTGGCGAGCTTCTACTCCATTGCAGCCATGGATGGACAGACTGCAGAGCATCTGCAAGAGGTTATTTGCGAAATTTCAAGGGATGAGATACTTACAATTATGTGAGTGTTTCAAGTATGAAGTATGATTCTTATGTCATTACTAGCTGCTAATTTTCAAAAGCTTGTTAAAACCAAAACAACAAAGCAATACATGATTATTTAAGAAGAACAAAAGAAAATAATGCAACAAACCTTTCAAAGAGAAAATAATGCCACCACAACACGAAGAATACACAAAACCAAAAAGAGCATAAAATTATCATAAGAGAAAAAGAAAATTTACTGTCAAATATTGAAGAAAGATAAATGATAAAATGTTTAAGAATGATAATATTAGAATAAGCAAGAAAAATAAAAGAAAGCTACAAGAAAACATACTTAAAGTATGATGAAAGGAAGGAAGAACACATGCACACCCACTCACAGAACCAACCAACCAACATTGTCTATATTGAAGAGTTCTTGCTTATTTTCTTTCTCAATGTACATAAGGTGTATCGTTATATTCTATTATATTTATGGGGAAAGTGGCCAACTATTGGAATCCGACTTCATGTCTATTCTCTCTTGCTATATGGAAGAATTACATCTTTTGGATTAATGTGTTTCGAGGTTTGTAAGCTTCTCTATTTCACATTACTACTACTCGTATAATGTCTGATGGTAATTCATTGGCGTATGTGTGGGTCTTAGGCTTAGATTGTTGTAGAAAGTTGTTTGTCTACTGCATTAATACTCCCAGCCTCAGAAACTAAATTGTTGTACACGTGTTATGCTTTGATTGTTATAGTTGTTGTTGTTTTTTCGTGATTGTTGAAGAATATTTTTTTCTTGCTTGTCTACAAGGGTTTTGAAATGGTTGGTTCCATGCATTGAAGGCATTGATGAAGGCGAATCTCAAAAATCAAACCCATAAAAAAAAAATTATTAGATGAAACCCATAAATCTTAACTATAGTAAATTATGGAAATGTATTTTCGCTTTTTTTGTTTTGTAGACAGAATGACAGTTAACTCTGTTGAAAGATAATGGTAAATACTTTTGTGAAATTGTTTATGCGTGGTATTTATTCTAACCTATATCCTCGAGGCAGAATATCCCCATATTATCCTAATATTGCATTTCATATTTGCCATGTTCTCTGATTGGTTTCTGAATGGCTGGTTCAGATTTCTCAGTTGTAAAAATAGCTTCTTGAATCCAATGTTTCATTGAAGGGCACCGGAATCTGAACGCTCCGTCCAAGAAACCATAAACACAAGTTAATTGTAATAAATAACTTTCTTGACTACTAAGTTACTTTGTTGAAAAATAGAATATGATCATAACACATTTTATTTATGCAGGTGTATGGGTCATAATAGAGGGTGGGAAGAAGCCGCATCCATGTTGTCTGGCACCCCAATAGAACTTAAGACATGTAATGCTGCACTTTTAGAAGCCTCTGGAAGATCTTGGGAGGAGGTAAGAAACTAGATTGATTTGTTACAGCGTTGGAATGCCATAAGCCCATGAACTATGGGAAACCTTGACTCTTTGGGTTATCAAACATCACTTCAATGATGCTGATGACCCAATTTTTGTTGGCTTTTCCTTTATACATTTTCTTTGTTGTGTACTATCAACTATTTCTTACCCCTTACATTCAAGAAATGTCAGCCCTTGATTTGGTTGTGTATATCGCTGATGCATGCATGGATAAATGGATGGATGCTTGTGTAAAGAAAATTGAGAATGGTTTTAGACGGGGCATATATGACATTATGTTTATTAAAGCTGACGAGTGTTCTATTGTCACACTACACTTTATGGGGAGTTAATCTGGCGCACGAGTTTTATTATATTTCATAGTAATAAATGAAATTACTCCATCAAAATCCATATTAGGGGTATTTATTTGACGCCTAATTTTAAATATATACTCCTGTCTTCCCAATGAACACTCTCTTAAAGTAGTTTTTTTAACCCAATGAAATGTAGGTAGATTTGATGGGACAGTTAGATCACGGCTTTGGGGAGATTTCTTTTAATTCCAAGTTTTGTAGATAACCATATCGATGAACAATTCTTATTGATGGATTATCATCATCATCATCATCATCATCCAAGCCTTATCCTAACAATTTGGGATCGGCTGCATGAATCTTATACCTGTTTCACCATTCTGCCATTCTGCTCTAGTAATTCTTATCGACAAATAATTTTGGGAAAAAAAAAAGGTCCAGATGTATGTGCCCCCCAAATGCGCAACCTACATTCATTTTGAGTTATTTGGACTTTTATGGTGTAAATCCTTTTTTTTTTATGAGATTGATGTTTGAGATAAAGTGTGTGTATGTGTATGTGTGTGTGTGCAAACTATAGCATCATACAAATGCTTCTAACATGGTTCTTGCTTGGAGCTGTTGTTTTGTTACTATGAAACCATTGAAATCACTCCCCTTGCTTAATAATTATATCGTTACTTATTTTCTTATTGCTCGCTCTTTCTCTCATCAGACATTTCATGTACAGGCATTCTCTACCGGCCTCGGTGGGTGGAGACTTCTTGGTGTGGTGAAACCAGATGATGCTTCAGAAGGGTGATGATCTTTGCTGTTCATTTTTTCTTTCTTGTATTTTTAACGTATAAATCTAACAGCCTAGCTGAGTTTCTGTAATAATATTCTTTTATTTTTCTGGAAGTTTTACTTTCTCTGTAGTTTCTAATATTAAAACAGAATATGAGTGTATTTAAAGCATGAGGATTGAATTATTTTAGGCCATTCTCAATGCAACGAATGAAAATTGTTATCGATGACAATCTGAAACACTTGATTTAATCTTGGGATTTTACCGTGAGATGTGTTGTTGCAATGGTGAACGCTATAGCCAATCAAGCGCAAGTTTGGATCCTATAAAGCTTTCAAAAACTTGCTTCGATGTTTTCAGATCTGTGCTCAAGCCACATTGTATAAAGATTGCTTCATTTCCATCGTACGTTGAGATTGTATAAACAAGAGCATGTTTTCATCACACATTGTGATTATTTATACATTGCTTTGTTTCGACATTATTTAATGGAAAAAGTTTATATAAGGTTGCAACCTTAAAATATAGAATTAAGGTGCATATCAATATTTCATCGGAAAAGGTTGTTTTTATGTTGGAAAATCCTCTAATTGATTAACTTGATATCAAAATGGATGAATATGAAAAAAATAAGATTTTGAGTCTAAAAAACAGTGCATCTTGCAATACATTATTTGGACGGTTTATTTTCAAAATTTTAATATACTTATAGATCTACTTGATTAGAGCCATTTTTGGAGTTTAAAATTTTTAAATTAGAGGTAAAAATAGATTTTCAAGCAATCCTAAAAAATTTTGGCACCAAATTTACATCTTATGATAAAATTTAGAGCTACGCCTTAATTTGATTGTTCTATAGAGCTATAACATGAAACACATGCTAAAGTTATTCTAGATGCATGGTCACTTTATCGATGATTTTATGGCACAAACTATATATATATATATATATAATGGTGTGGTTTCTAAAAGGTTGCAATCTTAAACAATCCAATTAAGGCGCATCTCCAAATTTTATCATAAAATACAATTTTGGTGTAAAACATTTTTAAGATTATCTCAAATTTTATTTTTTTATTTAATTATAAAATTTTAAACTCTAAAAATGGTTAAAATCAAATAGATTTATAAATATATGAAAATGGATGATCTAGATAATGTGTTTTATGATATAATATTTTTAGAGCTCAAAATTCTTTTTTTTTTTTTGTTCAAATTCATACAATCTCGATGTGGAGATAATCAATTAAAACCACCTTTTTCCAATAAATTTTTGAGATGAATCTGCAATCGTACATTTATTTTAAGGTTGCAACCTTATATAAACCTTTTCCTTATGTTGCAACCTTATATGGTAGTAGGAGGGATTAAGATTTTTGTGGAATCTCAACATGAAAATTGTGGATATATCATTCGAGGAAACTTATTGAAGTCCGTATGTACATATAATGAGTGTATTTGGAAAGCATTAAAATCAACAAAAATATCATAAACTATTTTAAGTTACATTAAATATTATTCTTTAGTAAGTAACTGGAGGTTACAGCATATGTTTATTAGGTTAGATCTAATGTGTAATTGATATTTCCTAGCAGGCACTATTTAGTGAGATATTATTGTTAGTTTCCTGCCAACTTTTTAAAATTTGATGGTTGGGATTCCCCAAGCACACAAAATATAGGAAAAATTACAGGATCCCCCTGAGATACAAGAACCCACACAACCATCCCCCTGTTGACCGTTACATTTTATATATTTCCCCAAATCACTTATTTTCTCATATATACCCCCGTCCCCTCCACCCATGGCAAACCTATCCTTCTCCACGCCATTACTCTCTCCACATGAAGCTCCTCTTCTCCATGAGCACAGAACCACAGCGTGTGCCGGCTAAATGCCCGGGGGACCTGCCAAATTCCAAGCAATTTGAGGCCCACAGCGGAGACCAAATGGCGGTGGTGGTTTGCACGAGGGGCAGGGCAGGGCAGGGCAGGGAAAAAAGGCGCAGCAGCAGAGTGGAACCCGTGGCTTTAGAGAGAGAAAGAATCCGGCAGCAGAGTGGCAATGATAGCTGAAAGAAGAGCCATCAGATTGGCGCTAGTAGCTTTAGAGAGAGAAAGGGGTAGCAGCACTATGGCTTTGGAGGTTTTAGAGAGAGAGAGGGGCAGCAGATTGGTGACCTGGGGAGCCGGCGACTAAGAAAGGGGAAGAAGGAGACTGGGAGAGAAAACTTCGCGAGCGAGTTTTAGGGAGAGAGAGAGAAAAGAAAAAGCGGGAGAGTTAAAGAAAGGGGTAAATTTTAATTTAAATTCTTGATCTTATTTAATAAAAAAAATTTGTCTACCAATATTGTGATAAGTCTTGTACGTCAAATCGGATGGTTTGAGTCATTCCCGCCATGAAATCTAAGATTTTTTTTTTCAAAGTTTTATGTCTCCTACCATCACCCATTTTGAAATTTAAAAGATAAAAATGATTGTTACCTCTATATAAAATAAATAAATAGCCCCTTTACCGATAATCCCTTCAATAAAAAGGTGTTTTTGTCCCGAAACAATTTAAAGATGAAAGTGGGAAGAAAAAAAGCCTTTTAGGATAATGAATACTGGCGACTTTTAGACCTCAACCACCTCATAATGTTGTAGTTGGGGTAGGTCCCTGACTTTCCCTTAATATATTTAAGGAAAATTGTTGCGGGCTGAACGCATTTGTACATATGGGGTCCAAAAAGAGTAACGCATCTATCTTAAAAGATAGATACAAGTAAGTGTTTTATCTAAAATCTATAGAAATTAACTGTTCAAATGTTTTCTTATTATAATTATTATTTTTAATTTTTAAAAATTATTTATCTTGTCATATTTATGATCTCCATATTAGTGATTAAATGTCTTAAAAAATTAAGTCTTAAAATCCATCTCAAAAGTATATTTATTAAAAGGCCCCGCGTTTCTACACATGCGGGCTTGGCTCATATTGGACAAACATCTAAACGAGGACCCACAATCGGTAGAAACTTGGTTGTATTGCTTGTGTAGCGATATTTGCCCATATGGCTGGTATGATGGCATTGTTGGACAACATCTAACGCCCACAGTGATATTCAATTATCTTTTTTTAACAGAACTTTTCTTATTTTTATGAAACTATCATCTTCATCATATCTTCTCTCAATTATTTCGATCAGCTACCGTCATTCAGCTTTTATAAAAATATATTATTAGAGAAAGGATATAATGATGATGATAAAAACCCATTTAAAAATACTTTCAGGATCCCAAATTTTGAGCATAACTTTAAGAAAAATAAATAAAGATAATGTCTTGAGATAACATAGAGATTGTTTCGTTATCAAGGGCAAGACCTAAATGTTTAAACTCAAAATCCAAGTATTTTCTTTTAAAAATAATTATCTAATGATCTTAGTGGCTCACAAAATTTTAGATGAAAAAACTCGTCCGCAGTAAACCTTTACTACCATGGGAGTATAGCATACGCGCTCACCTTTTTTATAGTTTAGGATTATTTGATCTTTAACTTTGCAATATCACTTATATTTGTCATCTTTCCTTTAGTTTAGGAATATTTGATCTTTTACTTAGCAATACCACTCATATTTTTCGAGATTATCTACAAAGGAACTATTTATATCTTACACATGAAAATCATAATTATTATTGTCTCTTAGATTTAAAATGAGTGGTTGTAAGAGTATCATTGAATAGACTCAAAATTCCAAAAAACAAAAAAAAAAAAAGTTAAATTTTATAACTTACCCCAAATCATCCAATTTAACATATAATGAGCGTGAATGATTGTGACCTCCATATACAAAAGATATAATACCTCTTTATAGACAATCTCATATTTCTCATTTTTTATTAATAGTACCCTCATATTTCATCGATAAACATTCTCTATAAATTAAAAAAGTATGGACACTTTACTAGAGAGGGTTTGTGTAGGTGAAGGAGTTCATCAAAAAAGAAATCAGAAGCACGATACATGCATTTTTCAAATTTTGAAATATACACTTTTTTTATTCTAACGAACAACCACAAAAAATAAAAATTTAAAAGCACAACCTATAAAGTATTTGTTTAGCCCAATTAACATAGGTCATCCATTTCGATAAGATGCTTAAATCTAAGTCTTAAAATAATTTTTCCTTTTCCAATTCTTTTAAATGGCTTTATTAACATAACAATGTTAAAATATATATATATATATATTGATGTTAAGTTTGTAACGGCTAAAATCTTAAAATTCATCCTATGAATGGCCAAGATTCATTGTTGGCAAGGACTCATTTTGACTTCATCTAGAGTTCAAATTGAACTTTTCTTTTCTTTTTTGGTATTTGTATGACCCAAAATGTTACACACACACTGTCTTCATCTCAATAATTAATCAAAAAAACAAAAAAAATTCAATACGACTAGATAAAGTCAAAATGAGTTCCCTCCGAAAACAAATCTAGTCCATTCATTCGGTGAATTTCAAGATCTTAGTCTTTATAAACTTAAAATCTTTTTTTTTCTTTTTTCACATTATTCATCTAATGATAATAAAACCATCCAAAAAAATTGGAAATGAAAAAATTCCTTCTAAAGTCTAGATCTAAACATCTCATCAAAGTGAACGGCCTATGTTTATTGGGTTAAAAAAAATAATGTATATTTCAAAATTTGGATCAAACAAATGGCTATAACATGATTTCTAAAGGTTGCATCATATTACTATACAACCGTTGCAAACCGTTGCATGAAATCATTGCCCATATATATATCCCCGATATTTTTATTAACTAATCCCTGAAATTCTAACGAACAAAAAATTAAAGATTACATAACGTACCCATCATCCAAATCAACGACGACAAATTAGTCGTAGTGTCAAGGAGATAGAAACGAAAATTGCCAGTAGTTCGCAGTAATGAATCTACAAGAAATAATAATACCTTCATCCAAGCCTTATGCCAATCATTTGGGATCAGCAATCCACATGAACTAATAATTAAAAAACAATATAATTCTGAAACCATAGAAACAAATGGCCAATAAGAATCACGATTCTAATACAACCATAATCAAATAACAGTTGCATTGCTGCAAATGACAACTAAAACATTCATTGTAGCAGATAGGTGCACAGTATTAACCCTCCATTCACACTTTTCTTTTAAAGTACAAAGTTATTACTCAATATGCAACAAAGCTTTCAAACAAGAAAAGGTCAAAAACCCATAGATGTAGTGGACCAGACACCCCTGAATTACATATAACTACCAAAACCCGAGATAGTATCGGCAACAACATCTGATCCACTGAAAAGAACAAAACCCTTCATACTAGAGGTGTGGTAGAAAGGCGTATTGGGTCCATAACAAGAAAGGCTTTCTAATTATACCAGAAAGTGTGCGCTTGTGGATGCAAGAAAGGCAGATATATTATGAACTGAAATGTTGGGGATGAAAGCAAGATGTTGCAAGAGATTGGTAAAACGTACGAAGGAGCATTCCTCATATCCATGAGATATCAGCTAAGACTTTTTCTTTGGTCTAATGTCAACTGATGATTGAGAAAGAGAGAGACAGAAGGGGGGGAGGGAATTGGGGTTGGGTTCTCTGACACTTCCCCTTCAATCCTAGTAGTTTTCCATGCCTAATCAATCTTAACAGAGGAGAAAAGGTAGTGAACGAAGTAGAAAGATGTGAGAAACCCAATGGTTCCAGTTGAAAGCATGATGGCAAAGGCCATGATGAAAGAGTACCCAAGGTAGAGGATCGCTGAAACAGGGCCACTGAGACTGCTCAACTCAAAGACCAGGTAGTTAATTGAGTACAGGAAAACATATAGAGAGACCGAACCTGACGCAAAGAAGGCCTTCCACCACCATTGCCAATCCTCAACACACAAGTGCATGTACGTGAGCACAACCGACACTTCAGCGCACACAATAACGAGCAACACAAACACAACCAACAAGAACCCAAAGACATAGTAGAACCTACCCAACCAAATACTTGACATTATGAAGAAGAGCTCGATAAAAAGGGTCCCAAAAGGTAGGGTACCAGCCCCAAGAACCAAAAGCCAAGACGGATATTTCCTAGCTGGTATCTCCCTAGGAATTTGGTTGGTCCTAACAGGAAATTGAATGGGTTCAGCCCTTGTACCCAAGAACCCGCCCAAGAGAGTTAAAGGCACAGAGATGCAAAACCATAGAGAGAGGAGCACGAAATATAGAGAGATGGGGATAGCTCCAGTGCTATGGCTTCCCCACAAAATAAAGTTTAGGGCAGTCAAGACCACAAAAACTATGCCAGGGAAGAAGCAAGCAATGGACCAGGAAACCGACCTCCAACCCTCAGATGTGCCCTTCATGGTCCTCCAAAGCCTCACGCCTGCATAACCAGCAGCAATTCCAAGGAAGAGGTAGAGAAGGATCATACCAGTTAGAAGCATTCCTCTTGATGCAGGGGACATGAAGCCTAGAGCTGCAAAAACAATGGTGACCACTGCCATGCCCGCTATTTGCACCCCATCTCCTATCATCACAGAGAGAAGCTTCGAGTGAGAAGGCTCCCTGAACACATCGCCCACCACGAGCTTCCAACCTGAGAGCTCCTCGTTCATTTGGGCTTGAGCCTCTTTGTCCAATTCTTCATATTTGGTGAGATCTCTCCTCACTGTCCTCAAGAAAATGACAAAGACTATGCCAGCCAGGAAGAAGATCACCATGAGAGAGTTCAAGATAGAGAACCAGTGAACCCGAGCTCCCTCCATTCTGAGATATGCGTCCCATCGAGAAGGCCACTTTATGTTGCTGAGCACAAACTCCACCTCATAAGTAAAGGAGATCCTCTCTTTCTCTTTGATAACTTGAAACCCGTCGATTTCGGAGAGGCAGGTCACAGGTGGGACAGGATCATACATCTTGAGCTTCAACATGGCATCAGGGTCCCTCTTAACACTGCATGGACTAACTTCAAACCCCACGATTTCAAACCCCGAGGCATTCTTTGAATCCACCTCTGTAAACACCCCCATACCCTCCTCGCTAGTGCCCATAATATCCACCCCACTTCCCTCATATTCGTGAACCAAGACTGTGAACTTCAGATGATTGATGATATAGTCTTCATTCCCTGAGGAAAACCCAACTGGAAACCCTGTCCATTGGATGGTCATGCCCTTTTGGGTGGCAAATCTCATGGCTGGTAAGTTGTCCAATATCACATTCACTTGATAGAGATCATGGGTCCTCTGTTTTAAAACCTTCACCTCATGTTCCGTCAAGGGTTTGGTTGTGCATAGGAAAATCGACTCATTCTTGGACATGCGAAAACGGTAAGGGGAGTTATCGATCTGGTCTCCCATTAGAAGCTCACCCAAGTTTTCAGCGCTTTTCTTCACCCCCTTTTGGGGTGTGCAGTATGGCAAGCTATAGTAACTGAAGGGAAGCTCAGTTTCAATTGAGGTCAAGGAATTCACTTTCACCAATAAATCATCACCCTTTGAGTATGTGTGCATATAACTTCCAGGTAAGTAGAAGCCATTACAAAGACAGGCATATGATATGAACAGAATAAAAACTGAATGGGCAAAGGAAGTTAGCATCATATTTACAGATGAAGACTGTCCTGAAAATTGTAGCATGATCCCCAGGGTGTCTCCTAAAACCTATGCAACAGCCTGAAAAAGCCTCAGGTACTTGAGCTGGTATTCAGTTCTAATTTCACATCAGTAAAATATGACCCCCAACTTCTAAATTGGCGAAGAAAGCAATCCTCATAATTAAATGCGCAATCCTATATTCAAAACATTCATCACAACCATGAATAAACAAATCTATATATTTCAATGATATAGGACTGAAATAATACTATGCATGAATGTATGATATCAAACAGATGTATACACTGCATTATTAATTTTAAACAAGTCATCAACAGCCAAACCTGATAATACTTTAGATCTTTATGCCAATGGCACATGCACACATAATACCATATCGTTAACGAATCAATTAAAAAGCCAAAAATAGATTCAGCAAAACTAAATTTAAGTGATCCTATGGTTTGGCAGAACATTCAATGTCTTAGCTAAAAACATGCTGAAACCACAATTCACAATTCATGGCACTTTTTGAGATCCCATAATATCAGGAAAAAGTCATTATAACAATATAAAAAAACTTCAGAACATATGATATAATTTCAAAAAAAAAAACAAGTAATAAAACAATCATCATACATTGCGGGATGTTTCTTCCTATTTTCTACAATCACCAACATTGCATAATGTTGACTAGTGTAAAGACTTGAGTCCTGTTTTTTTGGGCCGCTAAACGCATTTAGTTCTAGTTTCTTAAGACACTAGTGCAGGAACTATCCAATGTTCACTTTTCCATGCTTATTTTTTGACCTCAGTTGTTTGAAAATGCCATAAATAAGGCCCTGGATCCATTTAACCTCACAACAAAAAAAACTTGCTTTCCCTTCAGTCGCATTTGATGTCAGTCATAATGACTGAACAACAATATGACAGCAAATCTAATGCTCTCACTAAATGTCATAGAACTTATTACAAAACCTGAATAGCTCAAATACTTAATACAAATAGACCAAATTCAACATAAGAAATGTGACAAAAAGAATAAAGATTCAACCAAGATACTAAACACATTCCATAAATAAAAATAAACAAGTAAAAAAACAATCATCATACATTGTGGGATGTTTCTTTCTATTTTCTACAATCACCAACATTGCATAATGTTGACTAATTTAAAGACTTGAGTCTTTTTTTTTTGGGCCACTAAACGCATTTAGTTCTAGTTTCTTAACACACTAGTGCGAGAACTATTCAATGTTCATTTTTCCATGCTTATTTTTTAACCTCGGTCGTTTGAAAATGCCAGAAATAAGGCCCTGAATCCATTTAACCTCAACAAAATAAACTTGCTTTCCCTTCAGTTGCATTTGATGTCAGTCATAATGACTGAACAACAGTATGACAGCAAATCTAATGCTCTCACCAAATGTCATAGAACTTATTACAAAACATGAATAGCTCAAATACTTAATACAACTAGACCAAGTTCAACATAAGAAATGTGAAAAACAGAAAAAAGATTCAACCAAGATACTAAATGCATTCCATAAATAAAAGGCACTCAAAGACAAATCTATGGTTAAATAACAAGCTTCAGATGCCTACTACCTCCATGAAAATCACACTTTCCCTAGAAATGCAAGACCCAAACTGAAACAGTTTCACGTGATACAGAACAAAATGCAGAAACATACCAACCAAAGAACACTCTTTTTTGAAACAGTATCAACCAAAAAACTTTTTACATGGAACATGGTTTACAAATCCAAAAGAAATCAGCCATGAAAGCTCCAATTTGACATCATATTAACAGATCCAGGTTTTAAAGGTTTGTAAACCCCCCCTGCCCCGCCCCCCCCCCCACCACACACACCACCACAACAAAAAACGTAGCAGCAGATTCAATATAAAGACTGATATTATTACAGAAAGAAGCACTATCAAACGACACACTTACATTAGAATAAACTAATTACCGAACTACAAACTACAAACAAACTACAAAACCTACTAGTTTGTAGCTTACAAATAATAAGTAGTCGT